TATTGTTGCATTGAAAACAAATGAAAACTATCATCTGCCAAAAATTTCAATTTACTTATGAGCCTAGACAATATTAGTATACGTATAATGAATTCATGATTATGAATGAGAAAAATTAAATTCTACATATTATTGCCAAAAAGCAGCTGAGATGTGTCAGAAATTAAATAATATAAGATACAGTATATGTATGGCAGATTGAATGATACACATATGAACAGGATGACAAAATTAATTTACTAAAATATGAAATTAAGTATTAATCAGGGCCAGTCCTACCTTTAATGCGATGCATGCGAAAAACGAGCGCACGCCTTAGGGGCGCCAACACAAGATTCGGATATTAAATTTTCAATATATAAATTTCTTTGCATCTTTTACTAGTCTTTCCACAAATTTTTTAAATTCGTAAAATTTCACTTTATAACAACAAATGGGAAAGTAAAGATGAATACATACAATTCGGCCCTCGCAGTATCGATTAGGAGAAGTTTAAGATGCAATTTTGGATATCTTAAATAATAAAAAATTAAAAAAATTTAATCCAACATAAAGTACCAGTGTTATGTTATGGTTAGGTTATGTTAATACCGTTAAAAAGACTTCAATTTCCAAATAGTGTGATAATTTAGACTCATTATTTATTTAAAGCATTTCTACATTTAACATCGCTCATATATAAATGTATATGCATTTTGGCGTAAAGAGTAATTTAAAAAAACAATTATTATTTTTAGGTAAACGTAAATATTAGCAATTGTATTAAAAAATTGTAGACATAGGTACAGCAAACATCTGTGGGTCATCTAGTTTGGTAATAAATACTTTCAATTTTATACCATGTATTAAATACTAACCTGCGCATACGTTCTTTCTCGATACGTTCCTGTTCCTTCTTTTGTTCACGTTCAGCATTAGCATGATAATTCATAACAGCTTTGTTGAGACGACCCAACTTTGCAACATTGTTACGATGGAATTCTTTGAAATCTTTGCCTATAAATAAAAAATACTCATATTAATTATAGGTATATTGATTAACTAAATAAATAAATGTTTATCATGTATCATTTTCTTACCATGTTGTAATACGCAAGAAAGAAATTCTTGATGTTTCTGCCTTCGTTTTCTTCGGCTTCCATTTTTTGTTGTTTTCCAACTTTTCAGTGGCTCTGGCTTCACGTAGACCTTGACGTTTGGTTCTTTGTAAGATTTAACATTAACAGCAGTTTCCAGCATCGTGTCACGTCTTGTACACATATTAACCTACCAAAAAAATAATAAATAATTTACAATTATACTTCAGGATTATATATCTTATATATAAAAATGGAGCTCTCGATAAAATGATCCGCTAAAACTCAAAAACGGCTTTAAACCGATTTGTCCAGTCTTAGTCTTGAAAAATTCGTGCTGATCAGTAGGTTGCCGGAAAGGTGAAATATTATTTCAAAATCGCGTAGAAACTTTACATTATTAATTTAAAAATTTTTGTAGTAGCGTATTTTGAATAAAACAATGGACGGTGGCTCATACGTCAAATGTGGAATGTTTTTGATAAATATTGTTCAATTACGTTTAATAGGATGTTTTACGTGAATATTATTTAATTATTATTAAATTGTATGTAGTTTTGTTCATAGTTATATTTACATACAAAAACGTTATTAAACGGATCGCAAGTGTTACTAGAAACTCAAAATATCAACTTTTTTGAAATGTTAATATGAAACTGCATTTTTTGGCGTTGTAGCAATGTAGCACTCTTTTTTTGCGAATCATATTTTTTTCAAACACGGTGCTCTGAAAAATTTCATTTATATAATTATATACTCATTTGATTTATAAAGCATAATTTATAAACTAGGTTGTATTATTTTTTATTTAAATTCAAAACCTAAATTTGGTATTGTTCAAAGGGACATTTTGTCGAATAACATTTTCCCAGTTATAATTTCCCAGAATTTATCTAAAAATAGATAGTAATATATGAAAGTCCGGAGTTAAAAAGGTCCACCAAGGTTGTGTCAAAAACCAGTAAAGTTAGGCATTGTTTAACAACAATATTTGAAAGTAAAGGGGAAAAGATGTATAACCAGCAATAACCTTGATTCTTATGACTTTGCTATCGGGAGATAAACGGTAATCTTTGAAAATCCATAATAGAAGTCTTTTCTTTCATTGGTAGTCTTTTAGCATTAGTTATTGTAAAAGTGTAATTATTTTGTTAAATACATTTAAAATTAAAATAAGACATTAAACCTGTTTGCAACCTGGCCGAACTAAGTTACCCTGTCTATGGGTAAAACGGTCTAGATAACAAATTTTGAAAGACATCAAAAAAGGCACATTTCTACAATGATGAATTAGCTGGCAGTTTTACTGAACGTAGTCAGATAATCTCGTTCGTTTGAAATGTGTTATTTGTTGTGATATAATTGGTTGGGTTTTCATAATATAATTAACTATCTGCTCAAAGTCAATTGGACCTTTGTGCTTCGCTCTGCTCTACATATATACTTTTTATTAAATTTACTTTAATTCATCGAATGCTACTTGAAACTTTTCAAAAAGCAGGTCAAAGAAGAAATACTTAATTCATTTTCTATCTCTCCTCGCAGAAATTTGAAAATTTTGTATAAGCTCAGTAGTATTATTTACAATTATACACAAAATCCAGAATCCAAAAAGAATCTGAAAAACTTGAAACGTAATCAATAAGTCGAAAGACCAAAGAAGACTTGGATTGGATTATAGCACGTTTTCGATAGAAAGTGTATAAAACTGCCAGTTTGATTGTAATGACAAAATATAGACAAACAAATGGGGTTTATTGTTTTTATAATACCTCATTGTATATATCATTCAAACAAAACATACTTATATACTAAAGGTATTAATTTTTTCGATTCTCTAGAAATTGTTTAGAATATACTTTACTTAGCAAAACAACGTTTTGCCGGGTCAGCTAGAAAAATAATATATATATATATATATATATATATATATATATGTATATGTATATATATAGGTGTATATATATATATATATATAATTTAAATACATACCTCACTACGCAACTGCCTTTGGAAATTGATGACACGTAAAGCTTGAAGCTCGATTTGAGCTTGTAGACGCAAATCTTCTGGCATAGTAGTCGGCAAGTTGCTCAAAACCTGAATCCTATGAGCTATGCGAGCAGCAACTCTGCAAAAAAAATTCCAACATCAAAAACTGCACAACCAAACAAATTTAACCCTGAGACCCTTTCCCTCCTGACCTGTTTTCCCTCTCCTGCAGCAGCAAAACAGGGTCCAGCCCGACAGGTTTAGCGAGAGTGGTGATCCTGTTCTGTTTCTGTGTCGGAGGTCCCACAGGTTGTGCACCAGGTTGTCCAGGAGCCATCTGTTGTTGACCTGGTCCCATCGGCTGATGGGGTCCCATCATTCTTTGCTGAGGAGGCATTCCTGGTTGCATCATTTGAGGCTGGTGGCTGTTTGGAGGTTGACCAGGCATCTGTGGCGGACCCTGGAGATAAAGGTAATGGAATTATGTAATTATAATAATAAATGAATAGTTAGAAGTAGTAAATAAGATTTCTCATGCTTTCTATGATTTATTATGAAATTAAGTAAACTTAGAACAAATGTTCTTTATTCTGTTTTAGTGTTTTACGCACTCAACAGAGGGTCTACTGTAATCAATTTTTTCACTCTTTTTAAAAAACTAATTCTCTTATTATAATACAGTTTGAAGTTATAATTTTGTAGCTGAATGTACATTGTATAGCTTGCTATAAAAAAAAAAAAAAAATAAGCTATAATTTTTTTAAGTAAAACTTCTTTAGGCGCGACTAGGGAGTAAATCTGTAAAACTGCAAGGGAAGTTACGTTACGCCCGAACCGTTCGTCATTCGCTCTCGATGAAATCATTTCTATACGGGTCGATTGTGACTAGTCGTCGTGTCGAGTGAATAGAGATCAATAAGAAGATCGGAAAGTCATTAGATTTTAAGGTTACATCGTGGTATAAATCTTGATTTAATAAAAAAAATGTCTGAATCAGATAAATATTTTACCTTGTCCCCGTATATAATTACAATGGAAATAATAAAACAAATGAAACATTTGTGCCGTATAAGAAACGTAAGTTCGTAGTTTCTATAAATATTTGGAGTTATAAAAATGGAAAATATTTTTAAAGGCAAGACAGGTATTACATCTGCTCAAAGAATGAGACTGTATCGCCCGCGAAAAAGTAAAGCAAAAATACTAGCAGTCAACGAATGTATGTTAATTTTAATTACATGAAGTTCTTCAAACAATGTGAAAACAATATTTTTTTAAGTGTTGTTTAACAAAATCCACTGCGTGAACGAATATTATACAATTTATTAATCAGCAATTACTTCATTTCGCTAATGAATATTCAAGTCCTAAATGCTAATTACAATCACAAACCGATCATGTCGTATTTGAAGTATAACTTTAATTACATTATTGTTTTCAAATAGCATTAAAAATATTTATATATTCGAATATATATAATATTCGACATTAAAAAATGTGTGCATCGCGAATGTTATCATATTACTAATAAACATTCAAAAGTTTTACTTCAATCACGTGTGAACCTTACGCGCACTCTTTTTTATACTTTTGTAAAAAAAAGTGATTTTTTTGAAAATAAATTTTATAGGATTATATATTATATATTCAAATTATTCAGGTTTATCTTTTCTATATTATATATTTGTATAAATCTTATCTAGAATTGAACCTAGGGGTAAATTTACGTGCTACAGATTGTGACGCCCCTATGAAGTGCGGAAAGAATTAAAATTGAAGTAACGACAAACCGTCCGTGTTTGCGATCTATTTACACTTCTTTTATCTATGGACGCTGTTAGCTAATATTAATAAGGCATCAGAAAACTAATTGCATAAATTTTAACAATTTCGAGAAATTAAGCAACATTAGTTATATAATTATAATAAGAAATGTAATAAATAGTTGCTTAAGCTGAGAAAATAAATGTATATCAAGAAATTAACAATTTTTTGCACAATCTTTCTCAAAAAATCAGCTAAAGCAAACATTATCTATAAATTTCAGAAAAAATTAAATAAAATATAATCATTCTTCCAGACGATACTGCAAAATTTACATTTTGTGTTAGTAAAGCATAGAACATATAATTAAGCAAAATTCTTACATCCAACATGCAAAATCTGCTCAAGAAATATTTCATAGACGATGACAGATATAAAAAAACATATTTTTAAATAGGTTTTAAATTACTAGAACTTATTCTTACTATTTGTTTTGAATATATTAATTTTCGCTTGCAAAATATGTGCAATGAATTGATATTAATGAATAGTTTTTATAATATTGACATGAAAATCCATCGGCCATTTATTATCTGAACTTTTCCTAATATTTATAATAAAACAACTTCTCATAGGCCTATAATATTTTAAGGTCATCGTTTCTACACAACTCTCATTTAATCAAAAATGTCAGACATGTAAGTTTTATATTCCCCTTGTTAATAATTTCAATAATCGAGCAAATTTTACATATTCCATTATTCAACATATAACAAATAAAAAAAACATGCAAAGCTCTACAAAGGATACAAAAAGGACAATAAGGATCTAAAAAGCAAGGAGGAGCTACAAAGAAATATAATGAGAACCTGAAAATTAAAATATAATTAATTAAATAAATATTGCGGATGCAAAGATTAGAAATCAGAGTGGTGATATGGTGAAAGAATTGTGAATCTGTCTAGCAATAAAAAATATAATAAAACAGATTTTTTCTTTGATTTCAAATTTTGCTACAAGTGTTATTAAAATATCTAGTACAACCTTATATATAAAAATAGAGCAAAATATTATGTTAGGTATGCTAAAACTCAAAAACAGCTGAACCGATTTGGCTAGATTTAGTCTTGAAATATTTGTACTAATCCAGAGATTGTGGGAAAGGTGAGAAATTATTTCAAAACAGTTTAAAAACTTTACATTTATATTTTAAAATGTTTTGTAGAAACGTAATTTAAAATGAAACAATTAATGGCAGATTTTGTTCAATTAAATTTAATAGGATATTCTAGATTAATTTCATTTAATTATAAGTAAGTAGTTTTCTTTGGTGTTTAATTTATACTCAAAAACCTTCGCAAGTGTTATTACAAACTCAAAACATCAACTTTTTTGTTTGAAATGACAATTTTTGAAAAAATATTTATATAAACTCATTACAATGTTCAGTAATATTGTAGATAATTTTATGGCGTACAAACTTGTCGAAGATACCATTCACATCCATTGAATAGTATAGAAGTTACAACCGATTTAATAAATAAATGAATAGTACAAGGGGTCAAATATGAGTTAAAAAGTTTCACTTCAAATATAGGCATGTGGGCTATCAAATAAAAGGTCTCGACGAGCACTATCCAAATATCATAGTAGCAAACAAAAGAAACCAATAAGCTTCCGTGCACGTAATTCATTCCAAATCTGAAGTCTATTTTTGCAATTTTAAACCATTCCGAGTTGCTGTAGTGTGTTTATGAATTAGAAAAAATAATAGATAATTTAATTTAGCACAATTTTGCTGATATATTAATTAATTTTGGACGGACGGTTCAAAAGTTACAAGAGATATAATGACAAGTGGACCAATGGGTTGCAATACAGAGGGTGAAAATGCTATAGGCTTGTAATAGATAATTTTGATTAATAGAAAATAAAAGAAAGTGTTTCCAATAAAACGCAAAAAATGTATTAAAATTAATCCAAGACCATAATAATAAACTAAATAATATATTTTATATTAGTTGATATTTATAAAGTTGTTTATTAATACAATGGTGACAAATATAAAAAATCAAGCCAGAAAAATTATCCTTAAAAGGCTGTCTTAAGTAGTGATTTATAGTTTATTAAATGTTTAATTTTATTAGTTTTTATTTAATGTTATATATTCGTAGTTTATATTAAGTGTTATGTATGTATACAAAGCTATCTATGAACTCTTAATACTCTAATTTTCTCACATATTATTTCTTTAGTTTATAATTTGTATACGTCAAATTTAACTATATATTGTATTATTGCCTTGGGCGTTGAATAAATAAATAAACTAGTGGGGTGGGTGGCATCGTGCCTTAAGGCAAATTGCTGGAACTTCCCGTATCGTAACGAAATGTCGAGGAATACTGAATGTTTTCAAATAGATTATTATAAATATTGTAACATTGTCTAATATTTATAAGAATTATATAAACTGAATTGCAAAGTTAAAATTATTTGTTTAAGTTATATTAGAACTTTAGACAGAATAAAAATAAAATCTGAATTATTTTCGATACACAAAAAAAATAAAAAAAAATTATCTTAAATTATGAATTTTTTTTTCCGAAATCAATTATTTTGTTAAGACAAGCAGAAAGTTCTTTGAATCATTTCAATCGTACGCTTAGTTCTCTCAAAAACTACCATTTTTTACATATTTAGCTCCGTATCTTCGAAATGGCTGGGCCTGCCTTTGCCAAAAACTAATAAACACTTCTCCCAATCATTACTAATTGAATGTTTTTTAGATCATTCAAATCGGATACTCCGTTCTCTCAAAAAGTCGATTTCTATTTTCTGCACTATTTTCTCCGTATCTCCGAAACGGCTGGACCTACCTTTGCCAAAAACTAATCAGCTCTTTTACCCAATCAATAGGAATCGAATGTTTTTTGAACCATTCAAATCGGTTGATCCGTGCGCCCGAAAATGTGACTGGAAATTTGTATCCATACATACACACACACACACACACACACACATCCATTATTTCTGAAGTATGCCAAAATGTTCAGAAACCTTCAAAACGTCGAGAAATGTAAAAATTTTCAATTTCGATTTTCGGCCCATTACAATAACTTACCCTACGGGAAGTTAATAAACAAATACGTTTTTGGTATTATTTGCAAAGTAGTCAAAAATTTCGTTTCAAGATTCAAATTGTAAATATAAATACATTTAAAATTTAAATACTCTAAAAAAATATTAAAAACGCTACACAGATATTTCAACTATCATTTATCTAGACAGATTCCCGAATTCTCCTCCCCTTATTACCTGATTCATCATCATAGGCATAGGAGGCGGCCCCTGACCAGGCCCAGGTCCCTGTCCAGGCCCCGGAGGTGGCCCCTGTCCCTGCTGCTGCTGAGGGGCCATTGGAGGAGGCCCCTGCTGAAGAGAAATCGGCGGACCTCCAACATTCGGAGGAGGCGGAGGACCGCCTCTCGAAGGATCGTTCTGACCAGGAGGCGGCGGTCCACCAGGCTGCTGCTGCTGCTGCTGAGGCGGAGGAGGCTGCTGCTGCTGCGATTGGGGAGCTCCGTTCTTTTGTGCGATGGAAAGTGAAGGATAACGACACATAAAACCCACAAGAAAGGGAACACCACGTGGACAGATGATAGGAGGACACAAACAAAGACAGACAAAAGTGTTAGTGACATGGTTGTGAGACACAAATGGTTATAGATAGATAAATGTTATATTGGGTTATATTTACACTTTTTTGTTTAAATATGCACAATATTTTTCACGAGTAGACAAACAATGTCATCAAAATAAATCAACCAATTTAAAAAATATAAAAGTGCATATTATCAAAATCATAATACGTCATAGTTTAATTTTGATATTAAAATAGCCGTAGACTTTTCAAATAGATTCATTAACCCTTTGGACACATGTATATACATATATGTATATACATGTACATACACATGTATACACATGTGTCGCCATCCAATTGATGACCTGTGTGTACGAGTGTCGTCTATAGACGACATAAAAAAAATCGAGACAAAGTTGACACAGATTAAAAATACAATTTTTTGATAAACAATGTCATCAAAATAAATCAACCAATTTAAAAATTATAGAAGTTCATATTATCAAAATCATAATACGTCAAAGTTTTATTTTGATATTAAAATAGCTGTAGATTTTTTAAATAGTTTCATTAACCCTTTCTATACAGGTGTCGCCTACAGGCAACATCCGCTTGATGACCTGTGTGTACAAGTGTCGTCTATGGACGACATTAAAAAACTAGTTGGTATTGGTATTTTACCTTGAAACAAGTAACGGTACTAATTTTTGAAAACTTTGACGAAATTTTAAAGTTAAATCACTTGTAGGATCGTAATATTTTAGTATGATCTATAAGACTATGGTATCTACCGTCAAACAAAGAATAATAAAATACGTCAAAAAAATTAAACTTTTACAAGAAAACGGCCCGGCCGATCTTTACCAAAAACCAATCAGGTCGATTCCTTATATATTTTTCGAACAGTTTTTGAATTTTCAAAATCGATTCAGAATTGCGGGCTAAGACGTGGAAGAAATATTTTTCACTTTCTGCGATTTAAAAAAAAAACAGCTCGGCCGATCGTCGCGCAAAGCTGACAAACGATACTACTCATCGAGATACTTCGAATAGCTTTTAAGTTTTGAAATCGGTCCAGCAGTTTTGAGAAAACGTCGATTTACGGCAAAAAATCTGTTCCACACACACACATACTTTTTCCAAATTTGGTCTCATTCGATTCAGAATAGTTTGAAACGTCGAGAAAACAAAATCCGCGAATCGAATTTTGGATGAAAACAAACTTCTCGTTTGGGAAGTTAAAAATTGATATCAAAAACTTATCCTAGACTTCGACATTTGACCTGGGTATAGTATTTATTAAAAAAAACCTTTGCTTTTATAGAATGCTATAATGCTCTCTTAATTATATTTACTCCTCATTGGTGCCATCTTTTGATATTCAGGATGTCAACTTATGTTTCTAACTCAGTGTCAGATTATTCTAATTTGTTAATGTAGCTTTTAGTTTCTTGGAATTGTAATTTTATTTTTAAATACATTTTATTGATTGATCGACTGGAAAATCTTAAAAATGTTGTGTGTAACAAATATTTGGATGACTTGCTAGCATGTACAGCAGTGTAATAAAAAGGGTAATCAAACCATTTAAAAATTAGTTCAATATATTTAAATATGCTTACAATTAAAAAAACAAAGTCAAAATTTTTTGTTGACGTTAAAATGTAGATAATTTCTATTTAAATAAGATTATCTGATAAATCAGTTTACTATGAATGTATGTGAAATATAAAAGAGATTAAATAAAAATGTAGTTTAACCAATCAATAAAATTTTAAAATATGTACATATATCAAGTTGCTGTAAAGCAATATGTTGAACAACATGATATATTATTTAAATTTAGCGCAAATAATCCATTTATTTTTGTATAAATAAAAAATGCACATACAAATTCATAGTATAGTGCTTTATAAACCAAGGTTGATCATTACCTGTGCAGGAGGTTGTCCGGGCTGTCCAGGTTGGAACGGACTGCTTGGAGGTGTCGGGCACTGAGGAGGATTTACTCCATCTGGTCTTTTACCCTGGACGGATAACAAAAGTTGCTGGTCAACGGCTGATTCCTGGCCAACATTCTGTATGCCATTATTTGACCTCTAGAAGAAAAAATAGATTTGTATGAATTATTAACTTCCCATAAGTTATAGTAATGGTCCGAAAAAATAAAAATTTTTTTTTCATATCTTCACGTTTCAGAGATTTCTGAGCATTTTGGTATACCTCAGAAAAAATTAATGTGTGTGTGTGTGTTTGTGTATGTATTATGGATACAATTTTCGTCGACGATTTTGGGCGCACTGATTCAACCGATTTGAATGGTTCAAAAATCATTCGATTCCCATGATAGGGAGATGTGCTAATAGTTTTTGACAGGCAGGTCTAGCCGTTACAGAGATACGGAACAAAGAGTGCAGAAAATACAAATCGAGTTTTGAGAGAACGGAGTATCGGATTTGAATGATCTAAAAAACATTCAATTTGTAATGAATGGGAGAAGAGGTGATTAGTTTTTGGCAAAGACCGTTCCCGCCATTTTGAAGATACAGAGCTAAATGTGCAAAAAATGGCAGCTTTTGAGTGAACTAAGCGTCCGATTCGAATGATCTAAAAAACTTTCTGCTTGTATTGACAAAACAATTGCTTTTGATGATAAAAATTATTCACATCTTTTTTTGACTATACGGGAGCACTTTTTCAATTTTGTGCAATTTTTTTTTTTGAAATGAATTCGAAATGAAATGACGATTATTAATTCTGAAGATTGAACTGAATTGATTTACATTCGATTGCTCAGATATACAAAAGATAGCAAAAATAAAAAAGTTTACAGTATTTGTAATAATATATTTGAAAACGTTTAAATTTCTCGAATATTTCATTACGGTACGAGAAGTTCCAGCAATTTGCCTTAAGGCACGATGCAATACACCACTAGTTTTTTTTTATACTATATTCTACATTATATATTATATAATTTTTTTTTATGGACAGAAATGCCTGCAAAGGGCAATTTTCACTTAGGATTATATTTGTGATATAAATAATCTATATGTATAACTAAAAGTGGAAATTTGATATCATGCTGGTCGAGGTTGAGATCAAACAAGAAACTCATTCGTGCTTAATGTTAATAATATGAAAAGTACATGTTTACCTTAATTGCACGAGCTGATTCTGACTGAAAGGTTGTTTTGAAGGATCTTGTGGACCGTACTTAGCACGCAAGGCCGAAGTTGACCATAACGAGGATCTTCCTAAAAGGGAAAATAGAGAAAAATACTTAATATAATTAAGCCATTTATGCTCATAGCTAATTACAAAATATTTTTAATTGATATGATGAAAGCAGTAAATAAATTAGATTTGAAAT